AGAAATTTCGGCTCCGAGCTCATTTTCAAATTGCCTAAGTCACCAAATCCACTAAAAACTTGTATATAGGGGTAATTCAACATCCTGATTACGAGTATGACACTCATTCTTGGCGCTGGCGCCAAGAGAGGACACTACGATTACCTCCTGGGCTCAGCCTTAGCAGAGCGCAGGTAACCGTAGTGTCATCCATTAGCGCCAGCGCCAAAAATGAATGTCATATTCGTGATCAGGATGTTGAATTACCCCTATATACAAGTTTTTAGCGGATTTGGTGATCTTGCCACTTTTAAAATGAGCTCGGAGCCGAAATTTCTGGAGTCCAAACGGCATTAGCCTCTGAAGAGCGCATAACTAGGGATAACTATCTCAAATGTTCGGAAGATCAGATAGGGATTAGCAAGCTACTATGAAACTGAATATTTTATGCTGTATTTGTTGTGACTGCTCTATTTCAGTTGTTTCTACCTCCGACTTCCATTCAATGTATCTATGGTCCTTTCAAACTGCTCGCCAATTTTTGTGGCAATCGAGCGCCTCTTAGCTACTTACAAGAAGGCGAGCTACGAGCACGGCTACAAGCACATCGGAATTTGTCTAGTTATTGTGCAGGTAATGGATTTGACTGGTTATTGTTTCCAATACGAGAAAGGTTACGCTAATAGCGTTTTATCAATATTAAAACCCTAACTGAATGACTCGCGTAAGCACCACTAAGTGTCCAACAAGCCGAACTGCTCCAGGAGCAGTTAATGTGGCGTGTTTGAGCAATCATAAATTGATACAAGTCATTATGTGGCCGATGTTTCGATAGTATTGCCTTTTCCGGAGCTCGTATTTCGGGGCATCATGTGGAGAAAAACACCCCAATCACATATCAAAAGCCAAAATGAAAACCTAAAGGCATATATCACAAAATGAAAATTCAAAGGTATATAGCCTAGGGCATAGCATCGTTGGGTGAAACACAAAGGGGGGGGGCGCACTTTTCGGCTGGGGAGAGAGGGGTCGTATGTGCCTTTGAGAGAGATTTGCCGAGCTGGGAAAAAATTTTCTCTGTTGTTGACTTTTCGGGGTTTTCCCGTTTCATGTGTATGCACTATATACCCTCCCCCCCATCCTAGCTGGACGGAAAATCCTTTGAGTGAGAAAATGTGGGAATTGGTGGGTACATAGGTGTTGGGGAAGGGGAGGGGGTCGTACCGAGACCTTCATCCAGGGGGGGGGTCGTACTGACACCCTCCCTTGAGGGAAGGGGTCATACCTACACCACCATTTCACACATCACGATGCTGTACCCTGATATGGCCCATAAAATCTAATAAAATAAGATCTTCCAGCGAAGCTATAATGCGGAGTGATGCTGCTTTCAGTCGTTATCTTGAGCTGACAGACCAGGTGGAACTCCCGGAAAATTGGAATTCCATTTGTATCGTAGTTCCTGCTTCAGGGTTTCATTAGGAGCTAAATGTTGCAAAGAAACATGACGAGGCAGCAAAACCCAAGAGAATGTTGAGCCTCGGAAGAATCCAAAAGCGCTCTTGGGCTCTTCTTGGAGCCGGTGGAGCCACCACACCCATTTTCCCCCTCGTCACGCGTGGCGGATACTGGCTGATTGAGCGGGATCCCTGTGCTAAGCGAGTAGGTTCCTGCTCCACTCACATAGCTTTGGCATGATGCTAACCTGCTTGACATTCTGTTTTAACACCGGAACAATCAAAGGGACGCCATTATTGTTTGATGACTGCTACACTTCTTGTGCTTAGTTCAGTTCAGGAATTGTGTGTTTATTTCTTGTGTTTTTCTAGTCATGTAGCTTTTTTCATACGTTCCTCTGTTCTATTGGTAAGGGGTGTTCAGTAACAGAATTCATGAATTCGACCCTTTTTTGATATGAAAGGTCCTTGTATCGTGTTCTTATCGACATTTCCCTGCCCAGTGGCCCCAATGGTAAGATAGAGTGGTTCACTGTCATCCATTGCCCATAGTTACTGTCTGAATATCTTGGATTATCTACTCGGTATAAGCTCAAAGGTTTACGTTTTTTTGCTTGTAGTATTTCTGGTGTTACAACTTTATGCTTAAATTCATTTTTTAAGAATACAGGCTTTTTGAGGGATGTACAGGATATTTACTGCAGACATAAGCGTGTGTGACTCTGAGGGCATAGGGGTTTGTGACTTTAATAATATTTGTAAATGTCAGAGATTGAGTTGAGAGGACTTGAGAATTTCTCAACCGATCCTTTTCCTTTGTGCCATTCAGTTATATATGCTGCTCATCAGTTATATCCATCCATTTTATTTATTCCATAAATGTGAATACCCTGAATGGTCGTAATGGCATCTACAAAGCGGGTCGTACTTTTTCGCTGTGGAAGGGCGAGGCTCGTATTTGGTCGTTGGGAGAGATCGTATGTGCCTTCAAGAGAAATTTGCTGTGTTGGGAGAGAATTTTTCCCAGTTGTTGACTTTTCGCGTGATTTTTCCTGTTTCATGTGTGATATACCCCTCCCCCCTCGACAGCAAAATTTTTGGGAAAAACTGGAAAATGTGGGGAACTGGTAGGCAGGTGTTGATGGGAGTGGGTCGTACCCAGACCCTCATTTCGGTGAGGTCGTACTGACACTCTCTCTCTCTAAGAGAGAGGTTCAGTACGACCCCCCACCGAAATGAAGGTCTGGGTACGACCCACTCTCACCATTTCACACATTACGATGCTTTACCCTGTATATAGTTCCATCACGCATTCTTCGTGATATTTACGGGCAATTAGTGGACCCTTTCAGCTTATCTTGAAGAAAGCATGGAAAACGAAGACTCCTTGTAGTGAAGTTCTGTGGATAGTTCATATTCTCTTGATATCGTATTCGTGTGAATATGCAAATTGTTTATTAAAGGCACGGTCCGCGACATACAAGGCTAAAACCCCTCAAACGTGCAAGACGACAAGGCAGGCACCCGCAGAGGCTGTACTGTATGCAGAAGTTGAAAATTGGCAACAAGCGCGCAGAGCTCTTGGGTTTTAGACCCATTGAGCGCCGTGATAGGCCCATGCCGGCCTCCGGTGACCGTGTCTTGTGGCACTGCCATTGCACTCTCTCGCCCGTCGTTTCTGGCCTCTCTCTCTTGTCAGAGTATCGTCTTCTCTTGCAATTCACAGTTGATCTTGGCCATCTTATTATCGCGATCAATTGCAATAAAAAGGTCTCACTGCGGGCGGTTTTTCGAGCTTTCTTCTTCTTCAGTAAGTCAAGCAAGCACACGGCAATTTCTTTTTTGAACTGTATCACCTATGAAGTGTGGTCGCGGCAAATTGCTTTTATTGTTTGACATCAGTCCCATCAGTCAATTTGCAAGTCCTTGCATCCTCATCTGAAGTGGAAACATGGAAATATCGTGGATGTACGTAAGTGCCGCGCGGTTCACTTCTACCTCGGCGCGATGCGACGCCTGTGCGACCTAAGAGAAGTTCTAGTCGTTCCTCCGTGCTCTGGACCTTCCGTTGCGATCTGAGGAGCAAAATATGAGGATTAATTCTTCACTCTTGCAGAGCCTTACCTTGCAGGGTTAATTGAAGAAAAACAGTGCTCAGTTCTTGAGGATGCTGGTGTTCCGGATCTGATGGAAAAGCTCACAGTTGCAGTAACACGCCACTTGCCCGCTCAAAAGTGCATGGGAACGGGCTTGAGCGCAGTGATGCCTGATTATCGTCTCTCGACTCCACCCCACGCTCACTTCTGGTGCGGCAGGTGCGTCGACGTTCAAGCAGGGTTCAGACGCAGAGGAAGTGAACAAGCACTGAGCAGGAACTGAACGCAACTATTGCGTTTGGTTGCACTCATGCGGATGTCTGGCCATTCGGCAGCTCGGACCGAGCCGAAAAACGACACCCAGGTATACCATCCGGCCTGATACTCGTGCACTACGATGGTGAGTGCATGGTTTTACTTTTAACTAACAATGAGAAGGCGAAAGGAAGCCTTGGTGGTGCAGGTTAAGGGCACAGGATTGCGCGTTTGGACGCAAATTTCATAACATATAGAGAGCAGAAATGAACATTTCTTTGTGCAAGGGTTGGATAGTGAAGGAAACTGCCTTGTTCGCATGACTAACTACGTGCAGTTCATAGTTCCTTCTCGATAGCACATCACTAATTCGGTGCGGTTCACAGTTTGTTTTCGCCTCATTTTGTAAGCAGCACGACAGCTCTCCTGGGTGATATCCTCCCCCTGAAATTGCCGAAACAAATTACGGATCTTCTCTGTGTGTGTTCTGCCAGAATACGCCACACAAACGTCCGATGACTTTTCTTTCGAATGCACGAAGTTCGCATTACTCGCCGCCCATTTATTTATTGGTTCATTTATTGATTCCTGAAAAAAATTGCGACAGATTAACCTCAACTCCTGATAACAGTGACACAGACCGATGATCCTGTGTGGATTCTTCCCAGCTGCCACAATACCATTGCCAGGAGATAACAGACAGCTGAGAAAGAGGAAAATGAAAACACCGAACACCAAAACCATAAATCCGAGGAAAAGGAAGGAAAAATTTCAAATCAAACAATATACGAAGAGAAATTCAGTGACAATCGAATAGAATAATATTATTTTTTTTGTTCATCGTTTTTCGTTTGCAGGTAATAGTGGGAGGCTCTCTTGTCGGTGTGATGTATTCTCAGACAGTACTCAACCTCACTCCCCTTTATTACTGTCATACAACCTCGAGGTCCAACTTCATGTGGACAATCTGTCCGTTCTTAGTAATGCTGTCGATGCAGCTTCTCGCCGTTCTCATTTTCGAGTTTGCAAGCAGGAAGAACAAGGTAATATTTGCTCACGCTTACATGTTTTTAATTGCCTCCTCATATTGAGTCCGATTGAGCGAGAGGCAATAAATGGTTTCATTACAGTGTTACGCGGCCAGAAACGTTAATCTTTCAAGCCGCTATCAAATTGAGGAAAATTTGTGGTTTGTTATTATCTTCGTTTTGGAATGGTCTTCCAAATCGTGATATTCACCTTACTCAGGACGATTAGATCTTTGAAAGTGTTCGTGTACACAGATGCAGCGTTCACAGCTGCTTATCTAACGATTGTTAGCCTTGTGATTCTCAACAATCACTTATTTCCGATGCCCACCTATTATGCTGTTGTAGATGGTAGGTCCGAATTTGTTATAGAACCATCCAAGACGTTTTTTCTTGATCTTAAAGTGTCATCAACCTGATTTGCACTCGCTACCATTTTTTTGCACCCATCGGAGTTGCTCTTGATGAGGACACATGATGTGGGCGGTTTGGTTCATGAACAACTGTATGTGTATGTGGAATCGAGAGGGAAGGAAAAACATGGACACGGAGCTATCGCAGTGCCCCTTCACAGGGATTTCTCCGCGCAAATTCGAAGCATTGTCTAATATCTAGCAGAGTCACAGAGTCACATTGAACGCAATAACATGGACCATATGATGAAGGACGACCAGGTGCATGAATTATGTGGCCTTTCCTGCTGCTTTCATAGGCCTATGCGGAGTTAATGCAACCTGTGTGAATAGTGGAGAACCACACTCCTCAGCATCTTTGTGACGTCTTACCGCAGTCGCAAGGAGTCCATGCACCTTACCTCTCTCGCGCACGAAATGGTTTGACTGAGCTAAATGTTCTTCTAACGCCTGGGCGTGCGCATATCGTCCATAGACCTCAACAAATAGTAGCAGCGGAGAAAGTCCTCTAGAAATCTATCCATGTGGTTCAGTATGACGGATCGGGAGAACCTGTTTGAAAGTGAAACATAAAGAGCTGGATAAATGGTTGTCTTCCTGAGTATATTTTCTGGATTTGATGCAGCACCTGAACACGCTGTCTGACTCCCGAACGAGCCAGCGAAAACAAAGCACATGAGGGAAACACTGACATTCCTGGACTGCATTTCTTACAGCGTACCGATGGGGTCACACATTGTGCAGTAAACCAGACACTTCGAAAATTAAGCGGTAATGAAGACTGGATTTTGTGCAACGATTAACTGCAAAAGTATTTCATGTTTTAGCCACAGTTCAATGATTTTAGTCCACAGAGTCTGCTTGAATAAAAGGAGAGGAAAAAAAGAGAGAAAGAAATCAGAATTCGATCGATACTATAAAAGAGTTGGCAAAACAGTCAGAGTGTCTCTGGAGAACGCTTACTGACTCTGCCAAGTCGTCGTAGTATTGAAAGAATGCTCTCAAACAGTCTTGTCGAGATTTGCTCTCCAAGCCTGAGGGCTATACAAGACATATCGCTGTGGTGTGCTTGAAACTCTCAAAGGCTTGAACGAGTGGCAATAAGAATGCGTTCGAAGTTTGCGTTTTGAGCTATTTCCCCTCACTTTGTGCAACTGCAGTCAAATCCACTTAACCCGGTTAATTGGGTGAGGGCCGAGCGCGCCCTGGATCGCCCTCTTATGACGTGAGTTTTATTCTTGGTTGAATAGCGCAATTCGCGAAACCGTGTCTTCATATTCGTACTTATAAGATCTTCATACTAGACCATCTGGAGGGTCCCACATGAGTACATTTGTGCAAAAGCGGCGCTATACACTATTCATGTTTGGCTGGTATGTTTGTCTTCACTCTTTTTAGGAAGCAGCCTCCAGTACATTTATGCACTGGTTTTGCCCATGCTGCTATGGTGTAATCGAAAAAATACGCACGATCAAATTCGTTCTGCTGTCGACCAAAATATGGATTACAGCATAGCATTCAATGCACTTCGCGACCAATGGAATCATCAGAATGTGCCAACGGAGACTAGAACGCCTTCACTAAAGATCTTAGCTCATGTGAAACATCAGTTTATTAAAGGGAGAATATCCTAGCTTCACCTCGTATGTAGACGCCTTTCAAGGTAACATATACGTGTGGAGAAAACATGTGGAGAATTTATGACTCATACGGATTGTCTAATTGGTTCATTTGAGAAAAATAATAAAAATTTATTCATTAAATGATTTTTTGTCACAATTATCATAAAAATGTGTTTCAAAAGTGCGGTTTGTTGCTGATCTGTTTGTAGTGTTTCGGTTCGATAGGACAGTTACGAAAACGGTTTCGAACGTGATCTTTCGAAAAATTTAGTTATGACTTGCAAATTTACATGCGTCTTGTAGCAGTGTATATAGCAGCTGAAGACAAGCCGACACAACTCACAGATCACTGCTCCATTTTCATAACCCAAATATCCACTGTTGAACAGCTGAATTTACTGTGAGCCTGCACTAACACGTACGGTCGTTCAAGGCCGTGGTGAGTTTTTTTCAAAATGGTCTTGTGGTCTATATTTGTAGGACACATACGAAGGACCTCAAAACCTTGAGCGTTCTTTTCGCTGCGCGCTTCTGCGAATAAAAAAAACGTAAAAAATAGGTCGATGGTTCGGATCCCACCGAGGACAAAATTTTGCTTTTCTACAGTTTTTCATTTTTTGGATCCATGTTTGTCTAAATGATTGGTCCCAACAAAAACATTCACGATAAACTGAACAATCCCACTTTTATGGAGTAAAACTGCTTTTTCGTTCGAATTCGTTTGTATGCACAGACTCAGCTCTTCGGCGCTAATGCCGTGCCAGACGCATGGATCACCTAAAAAATAAAGTCTAGAATCGTGATCAGGACTGTCGATTACCCCTAGGAGCAAGTTTTGAGCAAAAAAAATTTTTTTGACTTTTTCGGGTTGTAGGTGACCATTTGGTCGGCAGTGTGAGCGGAGTCTCACATCTTCGTAACAGCGATGCGTATCGTTGACGCTACGGACCCCGGACAACCCAATAAGCAAACCCAGAAAGGTCAAAACAATTGTTTTACGTAGCGCGAAAAATGTCGTTTTTAGTAGCATATCAGTGGCCCCGATCCCAAATATAAACTATTCTGCATCCAACGCATGTTTTGCGACAGAGAATAGCAGTGTAACGTTCGCCTATTTTGCCGTGATACATAGCAATTCAGGTGGAAAGAAGATGTGGCCCCAAATTGTCTATAATTGACACCACACCAAAGTTACTGAATTCGCAATCAGATCCACTGTATAGCCTATGAGGATCAACGTCCATCAACAATCTTGTTCAATGGTGCGTGAAAATCGAAGTGGCTGAATAGCACTGACTCATGAGGTATAGCTACTCCAAATGTGCCCATAAATGGCAAATATCCGAGTTATATTCATGCGCAGACACTAATGGAAGCGAGAATAGCGAAACCTGAAAAATGCAAAAAGCCGCGACGCGAGGGGAGCCGAACCATCAACCCCACCCTCACTGTCCGATTGCGAAACCTCCACTCCTATCCGCTAGGCCATTCCGTCTCGACCGTGCTAGCGCTCTTATCGTTGATGAAACCACTGCAAGAAGCCGTTCACCCTTGAGCACGTGATCCAAGTTGGAAGCTCACTTGCGGCGATTTTTCGCTTCGATTCAAATAGCCCCTTTATAAGGACCCCCCACTCAGCAACTGGTCAAAGTTGCAAGTGAGCTACGCCGTATAGAGGCCAGAGCGAAGCAGATTCCCAAGATTTCTTTTTCAAACTCGTTTTTACTTTCGGCTGGAAAGCGCGACAAGCGCAAATGAAGCACACATTTTCGGAGTCTCTTGCATGAACCCTACAATATATGCCAAAAACCGTTTTTCGAAAACGCGATTTCGTTGATTCTGCCGACCCCTTAACGACCTCCCTTGCTTAAGACGTATCGCTTATCGACCTTACACGTCACCAATTTTGATCAGTTTCTGCAGGTTCAGCACCTCGACTGAACGCAAACAGGCATAACAATCTCAAATGAGTCTTCTAAAATCACTGGTCAACCCTTTCATGTATCACACGAATTTTCAAAAAAAAACTCCAGTACACATGCGCCAATTTTTATCTTCGCTCTGAAAGAAGAATTACCATTAAGCATCATCCAGAAAAGTCGGAGTAACGTCCAAGTTAGCTGAAGTGGTGATTTTTTCCTTTCCCCCCTCATCACAATTCCTAAGAGTGCAATTTAATTGTTACAGACAAGCTGGACGAGAGCTGTCAAATAGGGGCATAATCAGTCCGCATACCATGACTTCAAGTTGGAGAACACTTTTCAGCGTGGTTGCTTTTAGGGGAATTCCAAAGGATCGTTGCAATATCACATACCGCTTATGGAACTCTGATTTTAAATTCGTTGTTTGATTTCGAGAAAACGTCATTTTATATTCATTTGCTTGGAACCTAGGTCTCAGACGAAATATTGTGCTGGGGAAAACGTCCTGCGACATTTTGATTAATCTGCTCTGAAAAAAAGTCAAAATTTCTTGGCAGTTCCAGGACGAGGGAGGCATTTTGCACGTGATGCTTCCCATCGAGGTGTGGACCTATCTAGAGAGTCATTTCGTAAGCTTGCAAGAGTTATGTTTTACGAGGGGTGTTCAATGTGTTCTCGGTAGTGGCATGAAGGAAAATGCAGAAAATTCTGAATTTTTAAATTAGTTTGATAAATTTGAAATTGAACTTTATTTTTCAATGTAGTCCCCCATAACCTCAATACGCTTGTTTGCTCGGGAAACTAACTTTTCAACACCCTCTGAAAACATTTTTCCTCCTTGTCCCCAAAATGTGCGTTAATTGCCGTCAGCT